AATCCTCCCTTGCGACCCTAGTAGGAACAGCTACTATCCCTACTGGCCCGACGTGTTGCCCGGAGCACTGCCTGATGAACTGGCTACATTGCTACCAACGGGTTGAGAGGATCCTACCGCCGACCCCATAGTGGGCGGGATCTTCTCGGTGACCTTCCTGTTACGGCACTTGTACATATTGTGACCATATTGACCACACTTGATACAAGCTTGCCGTGTCCACCGGTCTCTCCACACGTCCTCTGATAGACCCACTTTCTCCCATGGAGGAGCATTGGGGTCATTTTGGCTCTTCGACCGGGATCCCTTAGGGCGTCTACCGGTCCCTTTACCTTTTTGTGTAATAGCGGCGACTACTGCACCCTCTGAAGCATCGCCACCTGCCTCTGCACCTACTCCCTCCTGAAAGATGTTGTCTAACTCGATGGTGGAACCATCATCGTCGACAAACATAATGCGACCCTTCGCTTTCCAGTTGGGAGGCAGTGTCTTCTTCTTCCCATCTGTCACTGAGTTATGTCCATGCCCTATCTTTGCTTCTAGGTCTAGGGCCAACTTACTGAACGAAGGAAAGTTGTGTAGGTTGATGTTGGCCTCTTTTGCTAACTGGTTCCTGAGAGGAAGAGATAGAGTCCTCAGGTACGAAGTCAACAGGACCTGCGGGTCATAGCGTACCCCTGGAACACAGATCAAACGCTCTACAGCGTCGGTGGACTCCCTTACTGACTTAAACTGCCTCGTGTGCAGTGTCAGGATCGCATCAGTGGCCCTTTGAGCCTCCTGCGGATCATGCCACCTGTCTTCCACCATTTTCAGGAAGTCCTCCAATTTTTGAGAGGCTGCCCAAGAGCGGAAGTCATGACCGTACCCCTGGAGTTGCACTAACCCACTCAACCATCTCGCCGCACTACCTTCTAGGTAGGAAGCAGCCAGAAGCACTTCCTCGTGTGGCAAGGTGAGTTTACACCTGACGTAGACTGGCACCGCCCTCAACCAAGTGTCGAGGTCTTCGCCTCTCTTGTCTCCTGTAAAAGGTTTGGGAGCGGCGATGGCCGTCTTTGGAACCCATTGACTTTGTCCCGGCCCCTGCACCACTCCGGCCTGTGGACCCGGTGGCACAGGTTGCTGTGCTAGCTGCTGGGGCTGTGTGCCCTGTGGCAGCACAGATTGCGAGACAACAGGCTGCATGGTGACAGCAACCTGAGACGGGCTTTGAGTTAACACTGACTGTACAGGAATCTGCAAACTACTACCTGCTGTTACTCCTCTTGACAGAGGCATTCCCATGGACACAATGGCTACCGTTGAAGGGGCTACATATGGGGATACCCCAGTCAYCGGTGGAACAGAAGGAGAAGGATATGGCACGGGCCAGGCACCAGGCCCTGCTGGTGATGGTGCTGCCTGAGCACGCCCTGCCAACACGGCTAGGCTTTGCTGAATGTCCTGAAGGATGGTAGTTTGATGCTCCTGCATTTCTATTACGCCTAACAGGGCCCTCCTAACTACCTTCACATCCGCATCCATGTGCGTCAGGTCCATCGTCTCTAACTCCTCTATGTCTGTCCCTCTCTGTTGCATCCTGGCTCTTCTTCTAATCATCATATCTTTCTCTCTTTTTATCTTTCCTAATGCCTGCTGTAGCTGTGCCTCTTGCAGGGATGCCTGCTGGATGGCGACGTCCTCTGGGGATAATACCACGGGCTGGCTTGCCATTAAGCCAGTGGACTGACCCACAGTCTGCTGGACCATGGACCCGGCGGTTCCTGAACTTCCGGCTTGGGAAGTCATGGCTGTGGTAGCCATGGYTGCTATAGCACTGRCCTCTCTAGCAAAGGCCCTGCTGGCCTCRACTGCTCTAGCTCTCCTTTCCCTTTGTCGGTGGAACAGRTCCCTATCACCTCCCGGTCCAAGGGACACGTGAGCTGTCGGGCCTCTAGCTGATCGCAAGACCCTGCGGTCGTCCTCTCTGGTGTCCTCCACGTCGCTCATAGGCTACAGCACTGTGCACTGTCCACACTAGATCATTTTAGATGCCTACCGCAGTTTAGTACACAGACCGACTAATTAGTGGTGGCTTTCAAGACAGATCTCAGTTGGAGTCAACAGGTAAATGAGGTTCCTATTGTCAATACTATTTTTAGTAAGATTAGATCTCAAACAGAGGAAGCATCAGGAATAATCAATACTCTAAACTAATGTTGTCTGTCAGATGTCAAATGGCTGTCCATCTAATTAATCAAAATAAAAACTAGTGTTGACTGACTGGGTCTGTTCATAGCATGGAATGAAACTCGATTTTATCACCTGGAACCCATCCCCTTCCTTGGTTCTTCTCAGTGTCTCGGTGTCACGTCCCTAGGCATCTGAAGCCAAGCGTGTCTGAAGGTGTGCAATCCGGTCCCACCCCTGTGCCCCTAGGGTATCGTCGAGCAAGGCAGCCACAGCACTCTTATTTACCCTCGTACGCCGACGAGCCTTCCACTCGGATGATCTGGCTGATCAAGAGGCAATTTAACGTCCGCCCCCAAGTGACATCAGGAATTATTTTACGTCGCAGCAGGACGACGATCACAGCCAGATCAGAGCCGAGTACCCAGCCAGAAATATTTATAGACGGTCTGGAAAGCGTCTGTAGAGG